AATTTCCTTCCAACTGTTAGTAGAAAAATCCTAAACCATATTAAATACATTTATTATTTTTATATTATCATAATTTTATTTCTAACTGTTATTAATAAATTATATCACCAACAAATCAATGAACACACTAAATTTCAAATTGAAAATACATTTAAACATAAAAAATATTTACAACAAAAATATAGTCATATTCATAGTACTTGCAACAACATGCTATTTCCATACACCAAATACATGTTAGGAACAAGTATGTACATGCTATTTCCATAGTACTTCCAACAAGCATGTACGAGTTTCTCCCATCAAAATAAAGCATGTGCTAGCTTAATGACCTCATAACAAAAGAGAGGCCAGCACTGTCCAAAAAACTTAAACCTACCTTTACTAATTACTAGGTTAGGCCTTTAAAACAAAATAAAAACTACCGGGTTAGGGACTTGGAGTGTGCTTAACCACTAAAAATTACATAGCAGTAAGAGTATTACCACACACCAACAAAAAATCATCAAAATATATACCGCTTAATCTTCATCACTAGCTGCTTGTGTTTCATCATTTGTTGAAGTAGAGTTGTTTACGTTCAAGGAGACTAACCATTCAGAATTCGGACTAAACTGTGCAAATATAGCACCCATCTTTTCAACCTGCTCTCGGAACATCTTGTTCTCTTCCCGCATTTGTTGAATTTCTGCTATCAAAGCTGCATTGGAAGATGACGCTCCTGATTTAGAATTTGAAACCCTTGAAGCCTCCGGGAAGTAATACTGGGTATCTGAGCCAAACCCATATACATAGCCTCCTCTCTTTACACCGCCGGTGGCCTCCAACCACAACTGTCCATTTGATACACTAGGCTGAGTTTGTCGTAAGCCATTCGCTGTATCCTATAGAATAAGACAAAGCATGTTCACATACTAAAATAATTTCATGTGATAGTTAGAATAGAAGTAATACGAAGAATATTTCTTACAACAACTTTCTGTGATTTTCTACAAACATATGCTCCATTTCCATTTTTGCGCTTATGAGTGTATTCATACAAGGCTGCATGACTTGGATCTTCTCCCAACTTTTCTTTCTATTCAAGAACAATATACCAAATACACAACATATTTAGTATAATATTATAAGATAAACTATATTAATTATTTTCAAACTTACCAATCTTCTACGATGCTCAGTCATTGGAATAGAACCACAGCTATGAAGTGATGCACCTAGTCCGTCAGAATCTGAATTTTTATTCTTCTTGTTTTTTTCGGAGAGCTTTTTGAACTCCTCACTCTCCCAAATGCGAATTAAGCCAGCCATCACGTCCTCTAAAATCCAGTCTGGTTTGGTCCTATTTTTTGCCAAGCCCTCACGAGTTAGTCGAAGATGGTCTGAAAGCAACTTTGCACCTTTTTTCAGAAATATGCGGCGAACAATATCCTCCTCCAATGGATCCCAACGATGCTTTTTCTATTAACAATTAAAATAAACTTTTAAAACCATGAATGTTTTGTAAATTCTGCTATTGAGTCACAAAAAGAAGTGATTTCACATTACTTACCCTAAACTCATTAAACCACACATCTTTCAAATGTTGAGGAGCGTACTTAAATGATTTGATTGGCTGTGTGAACATCCGTTGTATACAAAGTATGATCTGACGGTGTGCTGAATGAGGCTCAAATCTGAATTATCATGCAAAAAATAATTACAGTTATTGGACTGCATAATCACTTTCCTAATGCATGTAAACAATTACTTAAAATCCATCATACTAATTAACTAAACTAATTGCAGCAAAAATCATAAATTAAATTAAATAAAGTCTTACGCAGCTCCGCCAACTGTGCGAATAAAAGTCCTAAATCGGTCTGCTGGAATCGTGCTTGGTGATGATTCTGTTGTCATACCCTCTCCTCCTCCACTTAAAGCAGCTTCATCAATACACCCGGAAGCTGCATCAGAAGTATGCTCACTAGGCTCTTCGGTAGTATGCTCTGTGGGCCTTGAACTTGAGGGAGTACGCTCAGAGTTAGTATCCTCCAACCGTCTATGTGCTTGATTACATGGTGTTTCCATTACAGCTGTATAAGGATAATGGAAGTATTCATTTCATTCAACGTGTCAACCCTGAGAGAAGTTGAGCATAGATCTCGAAAAAATCTGCTTAACTCAACTAAAGCCTTCCATTGTGATTTTGGCAAAAATGTAAAGGCACTTGCAGAAGACATTGCATAAAAACGTGACAATCATGACTTTTCATCCCACACAATTTTGAACACATTGAATCAACACAGTTACTTATATTTGAAGAAAACCCATTAGGTAATTTTAGAGTTCTTAACCACTCGTACACAACAGTCTGCTGACCTCGGCTCAAACTGTAACTCGCCTTTGGCATAAGACATCGACCATTATGTTCCACCAATTCGAGTTGTGGCCTATGACATATCTCTTTTATATCCAAACGAGCAGCAGGTGTGTCTTTATTTTTTCTAGTTCCTTTAACATCCATAACTGTGTAAAAGATGTTATCAAACACATTCTTCTCTATATGCATGACATCAAGGTTATGACGGATGAGGTTATCTTTCCAATATGGTAAATCCCAGAATATACTTCTTTTCTTCCAATTATGTGAACATCCAAACCCTTCAAGTCGACCGATTGTCCCATTAGTAATTTTTGGCAACATCTCAATAGTAGGCAACAACTCTTCCCCTGTCAAAATCCTTGGGGGTCTTGATTTCTCTACCCGATGTTTTAAGAAGGAATCACGATTTTTTCTAAAAGGGTGATCCATTGGAAGAAATTGTCGATGACAATCAAACCAACATGTTTTACGCCCATTCTTTAAATAGAAAGATTTAGTATAATGAGTGCAATAAGGGCATGCTAGTTTTCCTGCTGTTTGCCATCCAGATAACATACCATAGGCAGGAAAGTCATTGATGGTCCACATCAACATAACTCGCATCATAAAGTTTTGCTTTAACGAGACATCACAAGTTAAAACCCCTATATCCCATAGCAACTGAAGCTCATCGATTAAAGGTTGCAGATACACATCAATATTCGCCTTTGGGTTGTGTTCCCCAGGAATAATACAAGTTAAGAATATATACGGGGTAGTCATGCACATTGAAGGTGGAAGATTATATGGAACAACCATAACCGGCCAACAAGAATATGATTTAGCATTTAAACCAAAAGGAGAAAATCCGTCAGCACACAAACCTAGTCTTACATTCCGAGGATCTGCTGCAAAGTCGGGATACTGAGTATCAAAGTGTTTCCACGCTTCACCATCTGAAGGATGACACATAATACCTAGTTGACGGCGATTTTCATAATGCCACCTAATGTGCTCAGCAGAACTTTGTGATGCATACAATCGTTGCAATCTAGGGATGAGAGGCAAGTAATGCATCATTTTCTTAGGAACTTCTTTCCCACGAGCACAAGTAGGTGGTCGTGGTTTAAATCGAGCCTCGCCACAAAACTTACAATGTCTCTCATTGATATCAGACTTATAGTACAACATACAACTATTAACACAACAATCAATCTTTTCATGATCAAGCCCAAGCTTTTAAATCAATTTCTCTTAATCATAATAACTAAATGGCACTCGATTATTTGGACCCATTATATGCTTATTGTACTCAAATATTTGATCCATTGCTAGCTGTGGAATGTTAAAAGTTGCCTTTATATTCATCATCTTCAACGCATATGACAACTCCGTTTCATCAACATAACTAGGTGACAAAGGTTGTCTAGCCGTGTTTAATAAATCATAAAAGTTTTGTGCACTTGTATGTGGCTCTTCTTCTTGGTTATTTTCCACATGAAATGGAATAAATGATGAATCACCTACATCAAACACCATTGTTTCATATTGATTATTTTCGTTACGTGTCTCCAAAACTTGCTCGTTTACTGTAGGAATAGGTTCACCATGACAAGTCCATACCCAATAATACAGTTCAAATCCTTTCTTATACAAGTGAACACGGACATCATCAACAGATAAGTGTACTCTATTCTTGCATTTACTACATGGACACCTAATTGTATTTGTCAACTCGTATACAGAAAGTGTACATGCATACTTAACAAATTGCTCAACACCAGCTAAAAACTCATCAGTGATTCCCCTCTTTCCAGGTAACAATCGATTATACATCCATTTTCGATGTTCTGGTATACTTTCCATATATACCTAGTATTAAAATACAAATATCACAAAATTGGAAATATATCTAATAAAAATGTTTAATCTATATCACAAAATGATTATATACTGTTAGTTTGTTAGATAACAATTAAATACTATTTAATCTAATAATTATCACCATTTGTCAATTTAATTAATAATGTATCTGATAAAAATGGTTAGGAAACTAGAGAACTAATAATTAATTAATATTAATCCATATATACAAGCATGATAAAAAAAAATACAATAGCATTGCAAGAGTATATATATATATATATATATATATATATATATATATATATATATATATATATATATATATATATATATATATATATATATATATATATATATATATATATGCAAACACAAATTAAAAGCTATTATACTCAAATCATACCTGAATTTGGAATACACTTTGTTGGAAATCACTTTTTATGTTGTTAAGAACCCATGAAGAAGCAAGAGAAGAGAGAAATGAAGAAGAAAGTTGAAAACAAATGAGCTGAAATACGCAGGGCAGATATGAATACTGTTATTTCCGCCCAACGTTGTGTGTTGGACGGAAAAATACCTACCACATTTACTACCCACCTACCAGTCATTTCAAATTTATTGACCAATAGTATATGTTGGACGGAACTTCCGTCCAACATCCAGGTAGGACGGAACTTCCGTCCAACTTTTCGTCCACAAAACTTTACTGGCGTAAAGTTGAGATTTTTATTACATTACCGACCAAATTATTGTTGGACGGAAAACGCGAGATTTCCAGCAGTGTTGTTAGATAATCAATGGTATAAATACACACACATATGTATATTTTTATAGGAATTGGAGGAGATCAGAAAACTTAGCTTTTGGATTTTGATTATCTAGCCTTGATATTCTCCAATCTTCCATCATCTATCTAGCAATCGACAACAATGGAGGAGAAGAAGCGGTAGACGTGACGGTAGAGGCGGCTAAAAATCAGAATCATCCTTTTTATTGTCAGCCGCCCCAGGTCGCCCGAAAGTGACCAGCTGCGCACTGCCACTGGAAAATGCGCAGGTAGCCAATCAATGATCTGGTCAGTGGTGGACCTTCGCAACTCATCCCCGACCCCATCCATGCCAAATGATCCTTGATCAGACGTCTGGTTCGTCATCAAATCCGCCATGGACAAAGCTTCAACCGAATCACGAGAGCTCGCAGATGGCCTCCAATCGTCACCCTGATCATTGGCAGCAGATCATCGATCGGAGCAGTGGCGATTGGTCGAGATTAAGAGGTGATTCTAAGTCCACCATCAACACCATGATCCGATGGCTGGATCGCCGGAGATTGCGCTATTGACTCGGGCAGATTATAAGAAATCACAGATGGCCTAGGATCGTCAACCGGATGATGGCGAGGACGGCTTGACGAAGGCCTCTGAACCCCTGCGTAGTAAATCTGCTTGAAACTCATGAATTTCATGAACAGGTAGACTTCTCAACCGCTTCAAGTGGTTCTGGAGGCGGACGACCCACCTCCATAATGGTCTCAAAGGGACCGAGAAGATGACCGATTCAGTTCGGCCAAACACCGGCCGCCGACGCCGGAAAAAAATGGCCAGAGAAGTTTGCGAAGGTTCTGTGACTCTTTTCTCGCAAATCGCCAAAGCACTTGCGGTTAGAGTGCGTGGGTTTAGGGTTTGGGTTTCCTTAGATCACCTAAAGAGCATGCTGATACCGTGTTGTAATCAGCCTATTAGCTCAAACATATTGATAAATGGGAATCTAGATAAACAAGATAGAGAAAAGATGAAGAACACAATAAGCCACAGAGAACATCATTCTGTCATTCCAATATCTTAATATATTATACATGTACAATCATTAAGTATTATACTAAATGACATACACTAGTACAGAAACAGTCATTCGCAAGTAAAGCACAATTCGCGTCCAAAGTAGCTGGGACGCAGATGTCGGGGACGCTGATTGTATATACAATCAGCCTCCAAAGCTACTTTGGACGCGAAAAACGATTAATCGCGTCCAAAGTTGAAGAAATTTGGACGCGATTAATCTCATTACAGTGTTGACCACTGACTTTGCGCGTCCAAAGTTGGTCAACTTTGGACGCGCAAAGTCAGTAAATCGCGTCCAAAGTTCTTCGTCTTTGGACGCGATTAATCATCTTCTTTTAATAAAATGATTATTCGCGTCCAAAGTTGAAGAACTTTGGACGCGAATTATAGTTTTTTTTTTTTATTTTATAATAATTTGTTAATAAATCCAGTTTTTTTCCTGTACAAAAAATATTATGTTCATCCAGAACATGCAGTCACAACCACTACATACCACTTCAAAGCTTTCAACTAATAAAGTTCAATACATCATTACGCCAACACTTTAGCACTAAATTAAACTCCAATACAATCAATTCACAACACTTCAGAGTTTTCAATACATAATTGCCAACACTTTTGCACGTACTAAATTAAACTTCAATACATTAAATTCACAACACTTCAAAGTTTTCAACACATTTAAACTACACTACTTCAACACTTATGTAATAAGCTAAACTAGATAAGTACCAACAATTCATCATTACAATTAACTATTATAATTAAATCATAGTTCAAAAATTTATATACATTCTTGAGTAAAATATTTAGACCAAACCTCACGAACCTCATCAATTTGCGCTTCTGAATAAGGCTTTCTATTAAAGAATAATTCCTACAAAAATTTAAAATAATCAAATAATTAGTTTTAACATTACTAAAGTGTAATTTAAAACTATTTACTTTTAATAAATTTTACATACCATATCTAGCAAACGCACCTTGGAGACGGCGGCCGGCGTTCGTAGCAGCGGCAGTGGTGGCGTGCGATGTAGCAGCGGCGGCCGGCGGTGGTTGGCGTGCGAGCAGCAGCGGCGACCGGCGGTGGTTGGCGTGCGAGCAGCAGCGACGACCGGCGGTGGTGGGTGTGCGAGCAGCAGCGACGACCGGCGGTGGAGAGCGGAGAGTGATGAACGGCGGACGGCGGACGGACTGGAGAGCGGAGAGCGATGAACGGCGGACGGCGAACGGGTTAGAGCGATTGCTAGGATGGAGAAGGTCGATTGCTAGGGTTAGAGCAGAGAGCGATGAACTGATCGATTTGGGGGATTAGAAAAATAAATCGCGTCCAAAGTTAGCAACTTTGGACACGAATTATATCCGCATTAAATGATTCGCGTCCAAAGTTGCAAACTTTGGACGCAAAATTTGGCCGCATTTAATGATTCGCGTCCAAAGTTCGAAACTTTGGACGCGAATTATTTAAAAAAATAATAATAATATAGTGGCAATTTAATTACAAAATTGCCACCGCACTACACATTCGGCGTCCAAAGTTCAAACTTTGGACACGATTTATTAGATTTTATTGATATTTTTTGTACTAGTGTTGGTGTACAAAAATCAATAAACACAGAGCAATATTTTCTATAATAATATTTTTTTAAAAAATTACATTTTTGCCGTAATTTTTCCACTTTTTCCATTTGTTTCAAAATTTTCGCCATTTTTTTTTTAATTTCTAACCATGCGGCCAACCAAAAATAATAATAACAATAATAATAATAATAATAATAATAACAATATTAATAATAATAACAATAATAATAATAATAATAATAATAATAATAATAATAATAATAATAATAATAATAATAATAATAATAATAATAATAATAATAATAATAATAATAATATAAGGGATACCCTCACCAATGGAATCAATGAAAGCACCAATTGTTAGGGGATACCTCCACAAATTCTCTCAACAAGAGCACTAGTTGTTACGGTCCTAGATAGGACCGTAATAGATCGAAAATCTTTTGAGTAGGTTTCTAGCTCCTAACCTTATATATTTGAGTCACAACAAACTTCAATTTCAAGAACTCCAAGAAAAATAATTAAAAGAGTAGAATAAGCCAAATCTTTATATACAATGGACTTATATCTATCTCTATACATATTAAAGAAAAACGATTAGGAAAAATTTTTTCGCTCCAAAGTGTGAAAGCATTTATTGTATTCACATTACTTTATAAATTCATGTAATTTTAATTACAAATCAAATCAAATCAACATAATTATTAAATTAGTCAACATAACATGTCTATATATATTAAAGCAAAATGATTAGGAAAAATCTCTATCTCTATCTCTATATATATTAAAGCAAAATGATTAGGGAAAATTTTTCCCTAATCGATCATAATCATCATAAATAATTAAATAAAGATGAAAAGAAAATCAAAGTGAATAATAAGCAAAAAGATTTTAGTGGATAGGAGAGTAATTTACAAAATTAATTTGAGTAATAATTGTTGATCTATAATTGAGAACTAACATTGCAATAATTATGTTATGTTTCTAACATTAATTGATTGGAGATAAATTTAAAATTCAGAATCAATATTTAGATGAACATCTACACCTATTTCAACACTATAAATAAACCATCATCCACAGGACCACAACCAATACTACAATTATGTTTTGGTCGTGGCTAGAATAGGGAGGATGGTTGTGGCTAGAATAGGGAGAAGAATATTTCTCAGAGTTTAGATCTCTTATAGAGCTTTATACCGTGCGATATGGGGAAGATGAATCAAGAAATGCGCAATAGACATGAAGAAAAAGTTGAGAATAAAAATCATACCTTCCTTATGAACCTGAGGCTTCGGTTCTTGGAGCTGTTCTTTCTTGGAAGCAGAGGCAACTGTTAGCCGTAGCTCATGAACGCGAAGAAGAAGAAGCAGCTTACGTAAAAAGACTATTTTGCCCTCATGAATAATTTTTTTAAAAGGCTAAAAAAGCATAGTTAAAGGACTAAATTGTTAGTTTTAAAAGTCATGGAACGAAATTAACACGCTCCCTATAGTCATAGAACCAAAAGTGTAATTTGCTCATTTGTTAAATTAATAATAGTATGTGCATCGCACGGGACACATACTAGTTTATACTATATTACTAATACCTACAATAATTAACCTACTAAAATTATACTAAAGGTAATGATATATTTGTTAGACTAAATATATATCACATGCATATAATATGTGATACAGGACCGACTAAGCTCCAGCCATAGTTCTTGAGACGGTTGAAGGATCCGGACTGCTGCAGGGATAACGAGTATTTTGTCTCTCACTTTACTCAGCTCTCTCTAGATGGTGTATGAGCTATGTAATGTGAGCAGTGAGAGGACTAGTGACCTTATATAACCACTGGCCATCATTGTGGTTGTATGTCTTTAGGTCTCCTAAACCCTAACTAGACTCCTAATCATAATGGTAGTCTAGCTATTAGGTTATTAGTGTTGCACCACACATCAAATACTGAATATTATCATAACTTATCCTAATGTTATAATAATAGTAACGGATAAAACTTTACATTCTCCCACTTGGTGCGCATGCAAGCACTACCACTCAATAACAGAAAAACAGCAACCATAATGATATGTTCTCATTAGCACGAGTAGTATACATTATGATCAAATGCAAACTTCCACTGAGCACTTAATTAGGAAACAAAACCCAATGAAATAAACCCTATGTTTATTCCAAGTCCCTGAAGTACATTTTCTCATCAATATGAAACAAATGAAGGTGTACACACTTAATTGAGAAAATGTTTGAATGCCAAAGAATTTTATTGAAACTGAATGTATATACAAATCACAAAGTGGATGAAAGTCCCATTTTCTGAACCAGATCCTTGAATTTACTGAAGGCATGCATTTAGTCAAGGGATCTGCTAACACGAACTCAGTATGAATGTGTTCAAAGAATACAACTTTATTTTTGACACGCTTCCTAATTGCTAAGAACTTAATATCGATGTACTTAATTCGACTCCCACTTTTGTGGTCTTAGCTAGGAAGACTGCAGCTGAGTTGTCACAGTAGACTTTCAATGGCTTAGATATAGAATCCATAATTCTAAGCCCAGAGATAAAATTCTTTAGCCAAACACCCTGTGAAGTAGCCTCGAAACAGGAAACGAACTCGGCTTCCATGGTAGAAGTAGATATTAAGGACTGTTTAACACTTCTCCATGAGATAGCCCCACTGGCCATAATAAAGACGCACCCTGAAGTTGATTTTCGAGAATCAACACAGCCAGCGAAGTCCGCGTCTGAATAACCGACAACATCTAAATTGTTCGTCTGCCTAAACCCAAGCTTGTAACCTTTGGTTCCTCTTAGATACCTTAGAACTTTCTTTATAGCTCTCCAATGGTCTAACCCCGGATTGTGTTGGTAACGCCCTAACATTCCAACCGCATAAGCAACGTCCGCCTTTATACAGACTTGAATATATCCAAGACATCCAACAAGGAATGTTCTCCATGGATTCTTTCTCCAAATCACTTTCCGGACATTGGTCCAAACTGAATTTATCCCATTTGGCTATGGGAGCAACTTTTGGTGAACAATTTTTCATATGAATCTCTCTAAAATTTTGTTTATATAGTTTTCTCGAGATAAACCCAATATACCCCAGTACCTATCTCTATGAATTTTAATGCCAATAACATAAGAGAAAATCACCCATATCCTTCAAATCAAAGTTCTTAAAAAGAAATTGTTTCACATCACGAAGCATCCCCTTATCATTGGTGGCAAGTAAGATGCCATCCACATATAAAACAAGAAAGCAAATTTTACTCCCACTCACCTTCTGGTATATACAGTTATCCGAGGGATTTTCAATAAAACCAAATGAAGAAATTACCCCATCAAACTTGATATACCATTGACGGGAAGCTTGTTTTAAACCGTATATGGATTTCTTAAGCTTACATACTAAATGCTCACCACCCCTAGAAGAGAAACCTTCAGGTTGTTTCATATAAACCTCCTCTTCTAGATCACCATTTAGGAAAGCGGTTTTCACATCCATTTGTCGCAACTCAAGATTAAAATGTGCAACTAATGCCAGAATGATCCGAGGTGAATCTTTCTTTGATACAGGAGAAAGGTCTCCTTGTAATCGATTCCTTCTTTTTTAGTAAATCCCATAGCAACAAGTCGGGCCTTGTATCTCTTAATGTTGCCTAATGAGCTTATTTTAGCCTTAAAACCCATTTACGGCCAATGGCCTTGGCCCCATTAGGCAACTCAACAAGATCCCAAACTCCATTGTCCTTCATGGAATTCATTTCATCCTTCATGGCTTCCAACCATAAGTCAGACTGTGCACAATTTGTGGCTTGATAGAATGTTTCAGGATCATTTTCGACCCCTATGTCAGATTCTTGTAGATACGAAACATAATAACTAGGAACTGTTGATCGCCTTATCCGAGTAGACCATCTTAAGGTTGGACCCCCACCGCCTTGCATAGGCTGCGGGTCAACTACCTCTTCAGGAACTGGTGGCAGTTCTTGAATTGGTTCAGTCTGCATTAGCTCAGAATTTTGCTTATATCCTGAGTTGGTTCAACCATTGGTTCGAAATCTAGTTCAGGCGGTTGCTGTAAGTCCTGAACTGGTTCTTCCAAAAGCTGAACCTCAACAGTTTGTGGAATCTCAACAGTAGGTGGTAAATATACAGGCGGAACTAAAGGAGCACTGCGGATAAGTACAACCCCACCAGATGACGTAGAAGGTTGAGAGTCAATATGATCGAAGGAAGGAACTAAGTCCTTAAACCGATCACTCACACTAATCAAGTCATCTTCAAGAAATTTAGCATTCCTTGATTCCACTATCCTAGTAGTATGAGATGGACAATATAACCTATAGCCCTTAGAAGATTGTGCATATCCAATAAAGAAAACACTAATCGTCCTTGGGTCAAGTTTCTTCTCGTGTGGGTTATATATCCTCACCTCAGACGGACATCCCCAAACACGCATATGTTGCAAACTCGGTTTCCAACCTTTGAATAACTCAAATGGTGTCTTAGGGACAGCCTTGGTTGGAACACGGTTTATTATATACGTTGTCGTCTTAAGTGCTTCATCCCACAACGACTTCAGAAGCTTAGAGTTGCTAAGCATACTTCGCACCATATCCAAAAGGGTCCGGTTTCTTCTATTAGCTACACCATTTTGGTCCGGAGAACCAGTCATGGTGTATTGGGCAACAATCCCATTCTCTTGAAGAAACTTAGCAAATGGACTGCTTGTCCCCCTCAGTATATCTACCATAGTATTCACCACCCCTATCAGACCTAACTATGTGTCTTTTCCTGTTACATTGGTTTTTAACTTCAGCTTTAAATGATTTAAAGGCATCCAATGCTTCATGTTTATGATGAAGTAAATACATATAGGAAAATCTTGAGAAGTTATCAATAAAGGTGATGAAATATGTAACACCCCCATTTCTTAAACTACATAAACTGTCGAAAATACATACAATTTTTTTTTT